AAGCTGGAGGAGGTGGCTGGGGAGAGGGAGGTCTGGACCTCTTTGCTTAGGCTGCTACCCCCGCGACCCGACCTCGGATAAGCGGATGAAGATGGAGTACTGATGTACATTTATTAATTTGCATTGCATTTATATACGTCTGTATTCTTTTATATACTTGTGTGTCTACTGTATACTGTACAAATAGAGGATGATAGTTAGTATATCAATAGTATATAATACTTAAACTGATTAACCTACTTATCCTGCTTGCTGAACACATGATGCAAATGATGCAATGGCTTTGCCCTTTTCACCACAATTGCATTTTCCTAGCAGCTGTGATCATATTTAGTTTCTGATTTTGTTCTGTTTCAGTAACTTTCTAGATACACTGATGGTATCTAAAATATGATATGATATATCATTAGAATATACTATAAGCAGACACTGTCAGGCGTTGTGTGGAGGCGAGGAAGAAGGAACCCAAACGCAGGACTCACAGGTAGGTGAAGACTGGTGAAGGTTTATTATAAGGAGTGGATGAACAGAACAGAGGTAGAAAAGGGCTGGCTGGCTGGCTGGCTGGACGACTGACTGAAGGACTGAAGGACTGAAGGACTGACTGAATGGCTGGCTGGCTGGCTGGCTGGACGACTGACTGAAGGACTGAAGGACTGAAGGACTGACTGAATGGCTGGCTGGCTGGCTGAACGCAGGCGGAAACGACAACATAACATCAATGACACGACCAGGGCTGAAGGGAAGAGGGGGCTTAAATACACAACTAACAATGACAACGATTGGAGACAGGTGAGTGAACAGCTGAACCTAATGAACTAATGATAAATGGGAAGAGGACTGAACATAATGCACACAGACCAAGGCTAACACAATAAAACAGGAAGTGGAACAGGCAGTAGATAAACAGTGAACATGAACTGAAAATACTGGGTCAACGACCCAGAAACCCTGACACTATCTCTGTTTAATGTAATGATGTTATGGGTTATTGACTTTAATTTTTGATGCGCCCTGTGTATTCCTTCATGGCATCAATTTGGCACTGACCATTTTAATGTCTGTCACTATACCATATCATTAAAGACATAAAGTAATGTTGTTGCAAAATGAACATATGCCATTTCTAATAAATAATTAATAAATCTGTGGCCTCAAAAATAGTTCAGAGGTATTTGAGGTCACCTAATCAATAGAAAAGATTTTTTTTCTTTGTGTTAAAGTTAAATCAATAAGCCCGACATGGTTTGAAAGTTTTTAGAACTTTGCTTTTGCAGTATAATTATATTTTCAACTAACTGATATTTTCAGTGTTCATATTTCAATGTACACAGGAGTGTAAATGAGCATGAGCAATCCAGATCAACACCCTGTACCGTAACAACAATTAAATCTGATTATCCAAAATATTGTTGTGGCCTTCTCTGTTTTAGCCTTGCATTGTTTCCAGCTAACAGTATGGACTTTATTATTTGCTCAGTAATAAGAAAATTATAATACTGAAAGAAATGCTTACACCTTCAACACATCCTTTGTTCCTTTTCATTCCTCTGATGTGTTCAGAGTGCTAAGCAAACAAATAGTTCTGCACATAACGGGTCTGATAACTAAATATAGATGCTTTATTTCCCAAAGAGAAAAAAAATGTAATTTGCCATAACATTACAAAAAATGAAAGAAAGCTGGGACAATAGATGAAGATGACAGATTATTATCAAAGGAATCAGATATGTGATCTGTTGCTGAAGTTATATTTTCTTCATATTATGGAAGACCTGATAAATAGGTTAAATAATTAGCCCTACTAAAGGTTTGCATGAAAATACTAAGCAGTTTAGTACAGTTTGGTGGAGACTAAAAGGGTTAGTTCATAATATTATGGTAAAAATTTATAGTAATGCACTATATTGGACTGATACAAACTAAACACGAGAAACTAACTTCAAGACTTTTTAACTTTTCATCAAGCATTTGGGCATCTTTGTGCTTTTAGAAACTATGCTAAATCATAGTTTTATTAATTTTCAGAACCAAAAACAAAAAAACAGGGAGCAGGAGATTTCAGGCAGCAGTGATGACAGTTCCTGGGGCCAGCCAAGCCATGGGGCAAAGCAGGGAAACAGTTCAGTGGATTAACCTGGAGGAGGAGCAAATACTTGGGAACATTTCTAGGAGGGCAACAGTGGAGACAGTTGCTTTCCCTCTGGATGCTTTGAGTCAGCCTTTGAGGAGATGTGGCCTGAGATGCTTTTTGGCAGTTGCCAATGACTATACTAAATCACAGCGTTATTAATTTCCAGGATCAAAAACAAGAACCATCAGAGTCCAGGGCCTTCTTGGGCCTTGCTTCTGCTGTGCCAGAAGCAGAGACAGAGACCCCCTGGAGGTTATATGGGCAGCTTGTGACAATGGAAATAATTTCTTTATATTCTTTGTAAGAGCCAGTCAGCCATTCATTACACTTCAGCATTATGGTGTAAATAATATCCTCTTTGTCCCCATCAGAAGAGTTTGAGTCTGCTGGGTCGAGCTCTAGTCTCTAGTTTATTTGCAGGACCCAAATGCTGACTCAAGAGACAGGCAGGATTAACAAAAAAACAAGCTATTCAATAAGAGTGTTTTATATCAATCAGAAACACAATGTCTGTGACAAAACAAAATAAGCCTCTAATAAACCTGTCAGACCTGAAAACAAAACTCAGGGGGAGGCAACACTATACTAAACTAATCTCAATCAGAATATAAACTGAAATATGCTGAAACTAAGGACTACAGACTTAAGATGAAAACATGAAAATCAAATATAGCAATGATAAACTAAGAACCCAACGTAAACAAAGAAGTCCCAAAAGCTTAAAGCTAGCAGTAGCCTGCATCAAGAATTTGGGGGAATTACACTTCCCTGTCATAATCCATTACTGCTATCCAGTTACATGGGTCAAGGGGGACAGCAGGCATAGCAGAGACATCCACACCTCACAAGAATTCTCAACCCAGCCGTGTATTCCTGATAGAACATTGTCAAAGCACCTCCCCTTATAGCACAGGTGTCAAACTCCAGGCCTTGAGGGCCGTTGTCCTGCAGATTTTAGATGTGTCCTTGATCCAATACAGCTGATTTAAATGGCTAAATGACCTCCTCAACATGTCTTGAAGTTCTCCAGAATCTAAAACCTAAAAACTAAATATTTGATTCAGGTGTGTTGACCCAGGGTGTTATATAAAACTTGCAGGACACTGGCCATTGAGGCCTGGAGTTTGACACCCCTCCCCTATAGGATAAAGAGCTCGGCTTGGTGGGGCCTCATCTGTGGGTCACAGCTAAGCTCAGCCCTATATGGGCCAGCCTCATGTGGGCCCACCTTTAGCTTGAACAGGCATAGGACTTTAGTGCTTTGTGAATTGAGTGCGGTCAGGGGTGGAGACCCTGGCAGTCCAGTTCCTGATTCAGCAAATAGGCATTAAATTGGCTTGTATGAGCTTCTGAATGCCTTCTGAAACCAAAGAGGCTGCAGGCTCCCAACTGGAACACACTGTAAAAGAAATAAATTTATGATAGTTATTGTCATAGTCAAATTAATCCATACTTTTGAATATAGATGATACATTTAGAAGATTCATTTGTTCATTTTGTTTGAACTCAAAATAAATATCAGCCCAGGCTCAAGAACACTAGTTTCTAGTTTAATAAATCAAATTGCGGCTGAGCAATTCAGAAAATTAGTCAATTACAACCTTTTTACAGTGGATGGGTTTGTATATCCCAATGATCCAAACTGGTCCTGATTGATCGACCAGACGAAGAGGGATTCAAGAAAGCCCTGTATTAGGGTTATATTTTGGATTATATAATCATAAATGCTTAGAGGTATATAATCGATTGTATAATGATAGAATGTCTGATCCTTAGTAGTCTGCAAAGACTCTGTGGGCATTCCAGAGTGTTCTGGCATACACACACATCCTAAGGTCATGAGAGAGGTCGTACCTTCTCTTTCTGATATATGGTATGGGAGGACACTTACTCTGTATCTGTTTGAGTATAAGAGCCCTTTGTTTAGATTTCCGACTGTGAACTCTTCAAGCCAATCTTCTGTACTGCTCATCTTGCAGGATACAAAGGGATGAGCAACTTATCTGTCCACACAAAAATGTTACCCCCCCACTCCCATTCTCCGTTTGGCATCCAATCACCCGATGTCCAACCACACCCGATCCTCTCTCTCTGTCTCTCTGTGACCTTACACATCAACATGAACATAATTCAAACTATAAAATCACATATCAATATATTTTCCTTTATGTTGCATTCACTTTATGCAATTATACATCAACAGGATTTATCATCAGCTCAGTCACATGAATGTCATGATTCTTTATGATTCAAATATGTTCTTTTTAACTCAATTACACAGGAGTACATTTTTGTGACATTTCCTTTTCATGTCTTTGTGTTTGTCAGTCACAACTTATTTAATAAAATCATGCACGTCAAACACACAGATGCCATTGACACATCATAGTCATAACAATGCCCTGGAAGGTGAGTGAGACAAAAGGCTGCATGTTAAGTCATTTTACCCTCTTTCACATGTAATGAGAGATAAACCAGGAGGCACTTCAATTTTTTTTCAAACATCCTGCCTCACTTGACAACACCAAATATTTGTTACAATTTTAGCCCGACTGCTGTTTTAGACCCACCGAAACATTCATAATTGCTCCTACCTGTCAGCAATTATCGTAAAAGTCTTTTAGCCACCAGTTTCGTAATGTTGATGAAATCTTTTATGACAAGGTTAATGAGATCCATGGAGGGTGCCTGTGTTGGATAAAACCATGCCACTAGCACTGAATGATTGACTTTCTGAATTCTAAGGACAATTACACAGTTTGCATTTCAGTGCACAGTGTAGGAAGCTGAGTAGTTATAGCTATTCTTTAACCATTTTAATGAATGCTGATTTAAATACGACATATGTAACACTTGGTGGGCATGTGGAAATTCACAGATACAGATATCTTTATTTTGTGATCATGCTTACAGCTTATATTCTGTTAGTATGCTTTAATGTTTCTATCATATGTCTTATTGTTATACACAAAAATCTTCATGAGCCAATGTATATTTTTATTGCAGCTTTGTTATTGAACTCTATTCTTTTCAGCAGTAATATCCACCCAAAGCTCTTGGTTGACTTCTTATCTGAGAAACAGATCGTATCTTACCAAGCTTGTCTTTTTCAGGTTTTTATGTTTTACTTTTTAAGCTCTTCAGAGTTCTTACTATTGTCAGCTATGGCCTATGACAGATATGTGTCTATTTGTAAACCCCTGCAATATCCAGCCATCATGAGAACAACTACTGTCAGTTTACTGCTGTGTTTTGCATGGCTGGTACCTGCTTGTTATATTGTGGTGCCAGTTGCACTAAATATTAATAGCAAACTGTGTAGCTTTACTTTGAAAGGAATTTTTTGTAATAATTCACTTAACAAGCTTTTCTGTGTGACTTCAAATGAATTATCAATATACGGTGTAATTGTTCTGTTGAATCTCGGACTTTTCCCCATGCTTTTTATACTTTTCACATACACAAAGATAATCATAATTGCTTTTCAGAGTTGTGGAGATATCAGAAGAAAAGCCGTTCAGACCTGTTTACCTCATCTGCTAGTTTTGATTAACTATTCTGTTTTGATTACCTATGATGTTGTCGTTGTTAAACTGGAATCTGATTTTCCCAAAACTGCACGTTTCGTAATGACACTCCAAATAATAACTTATAATCCTCTCTGCAATCCAATCATATATGGACTGAAAATGAAAGAAATTTCTAATCACCTTAAAAGGTTGCTTAGACACATGAAATAATGTAGTGTCATTGTACATTTATTTACTAATTTATTAGTAATTTATTTATTGTGCAACACACTGGTAAAAGAAGCAGGTTTATGGTGCATTATAAGGCATAATGTTTTCTGCAGTCATTGATCAAGAGAGTAAAAAAGGCGACCGGAACATCCTGTAAAAGGAACCATCATAGTAAAAAAATAATCCAGTAATTTTGAATAAAGATGATAGGTTTGGCAGCATTTGGCAGTTTCAGTGCAGTTTGTGACATAATGTTTTTATTTTTCATGGACATGAATTGTTGTGGTTACAGTGTGGAAATAGAATGAGAATGATTATGCCTCATGTTTGTCAGGGGTTGTGTGTGGAGGCGTGGAAGAGATGACCCAAACGCAGGACTCACGGTGCAGAAATGATGAGGATTTATTGGAGCGGGTGAATGAACAAAGCAGGAACGGCAGAACTGACTAGCTGACAGAAAGACTGAGTGGCTGGCTGAATAACTGAGCACTAACGGGAAACGACAACATGACATCAATGACACGACAGTGAACGAGTGGAAACAGAGGACTTAAATACACAGACTGATGAGGATGATAATGAGAGACCGGTGAGTACACAGCTGAACATTATCTGGCTAATAACACAAGAGACGAGCTGACACAGGAAAAGCAGGAAGTGAGAACATTGATGTGGCAACATAACCTAAACGTGACAAAACTGAAAACACTGGGTCACCGACCCAGGAACCCTGACAATGTTGTGTTCCAGTCAAATTTGACTGATTTAAAAGTTTTCTCCCTGAAAACGTTAGTGATCAGACTGACCTATGATTCCACAAAGAGCATTTAAACACACAAAATAAACTCTCTTAATCTGCATACAATTTTCTGTGGTTTATTCAACATTTGCACACTCTTGGTTTTCCTGGCCAGAAATGATCTGTCATTAGAAATGTATGTGGAATAGACGAGTTAGTATAAATAACTGAGTTCAGGTACATGCCCTTTTGTCAGATGGACACACACACACACAGGTAAGCATGCATGCACGTATCCACATACATGCACACAACCTTCTCTGTACAAGAGAAGACCATACCATATACTTTCAAACAGTACATGCCAAGCAAGTAGTCTAAATATAGGACAAGTTATGCCTGGAACATTTAGGACTATACTTGGAAACTTGCAGATGGTAAAGAACCAAGCAAAGTTTTTGGTTCTGGAGATGAGGGGAGGTCTCAAGGACATAAGATAGCATGAGCTTTGTTAGAAGCTCAAAAATAAATCACCTCCCTGCCCAACACTCAGGGAGGGGCGGCCATCTGCTACAGCTGGTTGAGGGTGAGGAGAAAGAGAAAATAAAAAATACGAGAGCATAGAAAGATATTAAAAAAACGCACAAAGACAAATGTTAATGGGATGCAGTAGTGGTATATGAAAACACTGGGTATGAAAGAAGTGGAGAAGAGATGCTTGGTGCATCATTGGAGGACATAACTAATTGATTAATCAGAAATTGAAATAACAATGAAAAGAAAAATAAATTCTTAATAGTAACAGTGATCATAAATCATGAATGAGGTTTAATGGAATATATTCCTGAGCTAATCTGACGACCAGAAGTTTGGAGATCTTTAGCCATTAACTCTGCAGAAAGTTGGCAACCTCTGCACACTATGCACATCAGCATCCGTTGACCCAACTCTGTGATTTTACGTGGCATATCACTTGTTGTAATACCACTAACAGTTGACAGTAAAATATTTCGTTGTGATGGAATTTCACGATTGAACTTAAGCATAACAAAGCTGTCCATCACAGCCCATACTCTTTGTCACAACACTTTATGTATGGTGGCCCAGAGAGGTCAAATGGAATACAACTTAAGAAAACACCTGCAAATAGAAAAAAAATGCTACAAAAAGCACACAACTGAAATTGAATAAAATGAAGAAGTAGAAAAAAAACAATCGTCAAAACACAGCAGACTATTTTCTGGGGATATAATAATGTTAAAAAGGTTCTGTTTACCTGTACATTATATCCACAACATGTTGTGGTTTCAGAATCAGAATCTGAAATACTTTATTAATCCCTAAGGAAATTATGTGGGTTACAGTAGCAATAACAGACCAAACTCTTTAAACAATACAATAAGTTACAGATTATACAAATTTAAGAAATAGCACTAATATATCAAGGTTCAGGGTTCTTTATTTGTCACATGCATAGTTATACAAGTATAACACACAGTGAAATGTAGCCTGACACGCTCCTCGACATGTGCAAAAAGGGGGGGGTAGAGGAAGAACATTATATATATATATATATAGTATATACATTGGGTGAATGTGCAGTAGTAGCAGCAAGCAGGTGAATTCTGTACATTAATATGAATAGACATCTGACTATTTTACAGGATAGACAATATAAACATATTTAAAATTAAAGGAATTTGAAATGTACATTGTGCCTTGGTTTAGTGTCTGGAAGAGTCCTGTCTCAGTCAATTATAGATGATGTGAGAGGGCGGGTGTGTGTGTTTAGGGCACGGATGGCTTGGGGATAGAAGCTCCTCTTGAGTCTCTCTGTCCTTGCCCGGAAGATGCGGAACCTTCTACCAGATTGCAGAAGTTGGAACAGTTTGTTGCCAGGATGGGACGGGTCCTTCAGTATCTGCGCTGCTCTAGTCCGGCATCTCCTGGTGTAGGTGTCCTGAAGCGGGGGGAGAGCAATCCTGCAGCAGCGTTCTGCTGTACGGATCACTCTCTGGAGAGCTTTTTGGTCCTTCACACAGCTGTTCCCAAACCACGATGTCATGTTCTGTGTGAGGATGCTCTCCACAGCGCCTGTATAGAAAATCCTGAGGATCTTTGGAGAGACCCTGAACTTCCTCAGTTGTCGTAGGTGATACAGGCGCTGCCTAGCCTTTTTGGTCTGGACCTGAATGTGGGCAGCCCATGTCAGGTCTGAGGAGATGTGGACACCAAGATACTTGAAGGACTGCACCCTCTCCACTGGAGCTCCATTGATGATAATGGGCTTGTAGTCTCTGTGCTGACCCCTTCTGAAGTCCACCACCAGCTCCTTGGTCTTGCCGACGTTCAGCTGGAGGTGGTTGTCCTGGCACCATGATGCCAGATTCTTCACTTCATCCATGTAGGCCGCCTCATCGTTGTTGGAGATGGCACCCAACACCACTGTGTCGTCAGCAAACTTCACAATGGTGTTGGAGCCATGGGTGGCCACACAGTCTGAAGTGTAGAGGGAGTAGAGCAGTGGCGAGAGGACACATCCCTGAGGTGCTCCTGTGTTGATGGTGATGCTGTTAGAGACGCATCTACCCACCCTCACCACCTGAGTTCTGCCAGTGAGGAAGTCCAACACCCATGCACACAGACGGCTGTTAAGTCCCAGATCCCTGAGCTTTGTGAACAGTCTGCAGGGCACTATTGTGTTAAACGCTGAACTGTAATCAACAAACAGCATTCGCACATAGTTACCCTGTTTCTTGTCCACGTGGCTGAGAGTGGTGTGTAGGACGTGGGCGATGGCATCCTCTGTGGATCTGTTGGATCTGTAGGCGAACTGCAGCGGATCTGTGGTGTCTGGGATGGAGGAGGAGATGATGTTCTTCAGCAGCCTCTCAAACACCTTCATTACTACCGAGGTCAGTGCAACTGGCCGGTAATCGTTCAGGGATGAGGGTTTGCTGTTCTTGGGCACAGGGATGATGGTGGATCTTTTGAAGCATGTGGGGACCACAGACTTCGCCAGGGACTCGTTGAAGATGTAAGTGAACACACCTGCTAGCTGGTCAGCACAGCAGCGCAGCAGACGGCCGGTGATGCCGTCTGGCCCCGCCGCTTTCCTTGTGTTCACTCTCCTCAGTGCCGCTCGGACGTCATGCTCCGCGATGCTGGTCACCGGTCTCTCGCTGATGACGTCACTGTCCTCGGTAGTCAGGCGGTAGATAGCATTAGCCGCCTGGCTAACCTCGAAACGGGCGTAGAACTGATTCAGCTCGTTGGTGAATGCAGAGTCGGCGTTGATCGGCGCAGTGTCCCTGGCTTTGTAGTCCGTAATGGTGCGTAGTCCGTGCCACATACTCCGTGTGTCGCCCTGGTGGAAGCGGGACTCCACACGTTCCCGGTACCGGCGTTTGGCATCTCTCACCGCGCGCCGCACGCCGTATGAGGCCGCTTTGTAGGCGCTCATATCGCCAGTGGCGAGACCCGCGTTGTAGGAGGCGGTCCTGGCGTTTACTGCAGTGCGGATCGATCTGTCCATCCACGGTTTCTGGTTTGGGAATGTGGTGACTCTCGCAGTGGGGATAATCTCCTCCACTAGCATATTGACGAAGCATACTGCTACTTCCGTAAACTCGTTGATGTCGACTGCGCATGCTCTGAACATGTCCCGGTCGACGTCATTGAGTGCGTCCTGTAGCTTAGCTTCTGATTGGGCAGTCCACCGTTTTACCTCCCTCGTGGTCACGTCCTCCCTCCGTATGCTTTGTTTATACTGGGGGATGAGGAAGATGGCGTTGTGGTCAGACTTCCCAAAAGCCGGGTGTGAGACAGCTTTGTAGCCCTGCTTGTATGGCGTGTAGCAGTGATCCAAAATTCGATCCCCTCTCGTTTGTGCACGAGACATGCTGGTAAAAGTTTGGCATGACTTGTCTGAGGTTCGCTTTGTTAAAGTCTCCTGCTACAATGAGGGCTGTGCCCGGGTCCTTGTTTTGAAGCGAGCTCAGCACATCATGTAATTCGGACAAAGCCATACCTGTGTCCCCTTGGGGTGGGATGTAGACCACCGTGGCGATGACTGAAGTGAACTCACGGGGCAGATAGAAAGGGTGGCACTTAATGCTCAGGAACTCCAGATGTGGCGAGCAGCCGCTGGAAAGAGTAGAAATGCTCCTGGCATCACACCACTTTCTGTTTACCATGAAACACACTCCTCCACCTTTGGTTTTGTTCGACTCTGCCGTTCTGTCCGCGCAGATGAGCGGCC